AAAATAATTATCTCAAAAAAAATAAATAAAATTCTTACAATATAAAAATATTTTCTGACTTTAAATAACCTGCAAAAAATGAATCAGTCTGTCAATTAAATTTGATTAAAGATTTCATGATTCTGTTGTTCGATTCAGAGGCCCCAATTAAGCATTGGTTTGGAATTAGCTTAAAATCCCAACCATCTGGTGAGTTTTCAGCTAGTAGCAGTAATTTTCATTCTGTTTTGTATTGGTCATGTTGATAATTTTCATCAGTTGTGACAACTAATATTTTGGCTTTTATTTTGTTTTCCAGATACTCCGACAGTCTTGTTCCACACATCTTTCAGTTTTTAGTGATGTTGTCCTATGAGAAATTCCACACCAAACCTATCATTGGTATGCCTAAGATCATTCAACTTTGTGATGGTATTATGGCAAGTGGACTACAACCTACTACCCATGGTAAGGATATAATATATTGGCAATGTTAAACAGTCCTGCCTGCAAAAAAAACAAAACAAAAACAGTGTGTCAAAAGAAGTTATTCCCTTGACACTACTATTATTGTATACACTTTTACCTCCCTCTGCAATTTTTGTTGTTTTAAAAAAGCCATGATTAGAAATTTTATAAAATCTAAACATATGAAAGTGGACTTATACATTTTCTTTATTCTTGTAAATTGACAACACTCATTAAACATGATTGCTTCTAATTTTTTTTTTATTTTTTTTTATCAATCCACCCCAAGCAAGGTCATAATGCCACTAAGACACAAGGAGATACATGCCACACTCTTGTCCAAAAGAACTAATTTCCTTTTTAAATAATTAATTTAAATCACTTGTTGGTTAAATGTAAGTACAATTTGTCTGTTCCTGTCTTTTGCTTTGACAACTGATAATGTTAAAGGAACATTTATCATAACATTACATTTTGTTATAACAAAAGTCATTTTCTCCTAGCCACCAAAAAATTATTTTAAAGATACCATTTCCACCTGTTCTTAAATTTTCAAAATGTTACTTGTATTTTCATATTTAGATTTTAGTTTTTTTAAATTGAAAAAACAAAGAATTGCATAAAAAATCCTATTAAAATTGTGTTTGTTTATCTCCTTTTGTTAGTTTGCATGATCATTACGCCCTGCCACTACCTCATAAATAACAGACTATTCTGTTTTGATTGTGTGGAAAGAGAAAAAAAGATGCTATTTGGTTTCAGTGAGAAAATTAATGAAAGAAAGAAAAAATAGAAGTGTTTAACAACTGTTTTGTTCAATTTCAAATCTTTTCATTTGTATCCACTTAAAATAATTCATTCATATTTATGATTGTTATTGCAATATTTTGTTAAAGTTGTTAAGCTCAAATATTTAACAATGCAATACGGGAATTTCTACAGATATTTTATTGTTGTAGAACTCGATATGAACTTATTCAATCATTAAGTTAAGAAGTAAGATTTATCAGAAAATTAAAATAGGAGAACCGTGAAATTTTCACGGGTTAAAACTAGTTTTAAAGAAATGTTTTTGATGATGAATAATATACAAAGGCTAACATTAAAACTATTAATTTCTTTTTTGTCCAAGAAGAGATATATGTTTAGTCTTGGATTGGGTAGGGCATAAGGAAAAGCTTTGACATTAACACATTGACTGCAAATCACAAAATACCTTGTGATTGGTAGTTTTTATTATTACACCAACTAAAGGTTATCTTGTACTTAGCATTTTCTGATAAACTTTCATCTGTGGGCACCAACAACCAGTTTATTCGCATTGATACTTTTAGTATAAAAATAATGTTAAGAATTCAATTGAAGCTATAAATCATAAAAATTTTAATTATAAAGTTGATGTTTGAAATCAGATTTTGTAATTGACCTCTGGCAGTCAACATGTTAAAACACTTGTCATATGAAAATCAATACTCTAGTATTAAATGATTTTGAGGTGTTATCCTCATCTTTTTTATTGTTTCATTAACAATGTTTCAGCCAACCCAGTCTCTGGTTTTCAAGTAAATGTTTTTTTTGCCTTGTGCGTTATTAGTGGAGTTCTTTTTTCATTAAATATGTTGGTTATTATGATATTGGCAATTGAAGTTTTATTTTGTAATTGATGTCTGGCAGTAAACATGTTAAATAGCTTAATGAGTGTTGGCATGTCAAAATCAGTCAACCTAACCTAGCCAAATTATTGGATGAATAACCTGAGAAATTGGATTGATGAGCAGATTTTCCTGACTAGCATCTTCATTTTTATTATGTTGAGCATTTTCCACATTCTGTTCTTAAGTGGATGTTGCATCTGATGACCTTGGTTAGTGCATATTTTCATTTTTCACTATATTGTCCAACTGTGGGCATGTGGCCAAATTGTTAGAATGTTTGCATTCTGACCATGAGACCCGGGTTCGAATTTCACCATGGTCGATTTGTCAGAAGGACACTTCCTGATGTTATCAGACTGGAAGGGTCGATCCTGGCGTGCAGCACCTTTTAGAAAGTGCCTGAAAAACCATACCACGGGTTGACCCAAGCCTTGTGAGTGAGATTGGGTAGACAATACCCTTGGGGTCATCGATATCTATGCTAGCACAGTCACAAGTTATCGTGGCCGAGTGCTTGAGTGTGCTGGCCTTGTTCAAATTGTTGATCACGCTAGATAACACACTCTTTCCCAGAAACTGTAACTAAGGTCTTCTCAGCATAGTTCAAGTATAAACCACAGGTGAGTGTTGAATAAACACAGAATGTGCCTAAGCAAGCGTCTGCAATAGGGATTGGTTAGCTGCCCCAGCAGATGGGTATCTTTGAATACGAGGGGCCAGCTATACCATATTATCCAAGAGAGTGTATTAAAAACAACAAAAATGAAGATACAAATTTGGTGACATAGTAATTTTGTGTACAATCCTTATCCAGGCAAGGTGTGTATTTGGACTAAGTAGAAACATGGTGAGCAATAACTGAATAGTTCTAAAAATATAAGAACTTGACAGGATTGTAGTGATAGAAAAATAAAAAGTTCACTATTTAAAAAAAAAAAAAAAAAAAAAATTGGCAAAGCATTTTGGTTGCCCTTAAAGAAATAAAAACAAAAAAGAAAAAAAAGAAGAAATAAGAGGTCAAAAGGTCATCATTCACAAATGTAGGTGAAGAAAAATGAGTCACACCTGTGAACCAATCAGGAAGCAAGTGACAATTCTGAAATTAATTCCTTTGCCTCAAAAAAGTGTATAAATACAGACGACCAGAAAAAGGAACCAGAATGTCGATAAAATAATTTTGTCTGTTCTTCCATGCCCTACATTATCAAGACACCTAAAAATCCCAAAGAGAGTCTAAAGGATTGCTACTATCAATGAGATACATATATACATACCTATTCACAGGAATCTCTTCTCTTTATCTTATGCTAAAGGACTTAGATGTTCAACACAAGAACTTTCTGATATGAACTTATGAACTCTTTAAATATTGTATATTTTAAAAGATATAAAATTTTATCAGTACATGCAAAATATATCTTTGTACTAATTAGCTTTGTACGCAATTTTAAAAGGCCAAAAATTGTTTTATATGGGGATTAAGTATATTCTCCAATGATAACCACCTGTAAACACCTCCATAAACACTACAGGATATGGGCAGTAGAATGAGAACAGTTTACCCTGTGGTTTAAATAAAAGGGTTCAGTTTGGAATTCTCTGTAGGTTACCTGGATTGATATATACACCTGATGATGGCTGGAGGGCTCAGCAGCTGAAATGTTGTAATAACAACAAAGATGAGGTCAATAGTCTGAATGTAAATAGTGTAGATATGCTTTACAAAAAATAGAGAAACCAGAAATAATTGCAATATTTCACTAATTTTAATTTTTTTCTTTCTTGCAGCTATACCTGCCCTGCAACCCATTGTCTATGACCTGTTCTTGCTCCGAGGCAACAACAAGAGTGATGGGGGCAAGGACTTGGAGACCCAACGGGAAGTTGTTGTTTCCATGCTACTGCGGCTTATTAATTTCTATCAGGTAAGCAGACCCCAAACTTTTGTTGCACTCATAGGCAGTATCAACAGATAGTGTATTACAAGATCATTTATGAATTAGGCACAATAAGTAATATAATAATATACTGTAATAAAAGCTGGGATAGATACAAGATTTACTGTTGATCTTATTAGGCACAATGAGCAATTAACAATCTTGTAATAATGGTGTTTGTCCCTCCTTTTATTAGTTCTTCAGTTTGCATGACTGTTATGCTCTTCCAGTACCTCATAAATAATGGACTATTCTGTTTTGATCGTGGGGTGGAAAAGACATGGTTTCAGTGAAAAAAAGAAAGAAGGGAACATATAAGTGTTTAACATCTCCTGCCAATATTTTATAAATAATGGACTATTCTGTTTTGATTACATAGAAAAACAAAGCATATCAGTGACGCTACTTGGTTTCAATGAGAAAAGGAATAAAAGAAAGAAGGGAAGATAGAAGTGTTTAATGATTGTTTCAGTGAAATTGAAAAAGTTGTTGATTTCCAATCTTTTCATTTGTACCCACTTCTTAAAATATAGACCAGCATTCATATTTATGATTGTTATTGACATATTTTGTTAATGTTGTTAAGCTCAAATATTTAATGATATAAGAGAATTATATGGATATATTCAATTGTCATAGGAATCGCCATGAGCTTATTCAATCTGAACTTAAGAATTAAGATTCATCATAAAATTAAAATAGGAAAACTGTGACATTTTCATAGGTCTTTCTAGTAATTAATAATAGAAAAGTTCTAATTATATACTGTAATAAAATCTGTGATGGATAAAAAATTCATTCTTACTGTAGATCTTATTAGGCACAATAAGAGATTAACAACAATAACTAAAAAAATAACATAGGACAATTATAACAATACAGTGGAATGAAAGTTAGGTAACTGAGATTTGTTTTTGCCATATTCCTTACCAGTCTTTTAAGTCCTTTCTCTTGGGGAGCTTAGGGCCATATCATGGTGAAACACCAGTTCCCATACAATCACTGAAATTAAACAACATCGAGCCTGGTCAGTACCTAGATGAGTGACTGCTTAGGAATACCAGGTACTGTAACCTTGAATGTGTGTGTGACATAATAGATAAAGACTCAGAATTGTTAATTGGAGAGCTGAGTTCCAATTCCAATCAGGTTCATTGTATTCACTTACACACAAATACACTTGGGAAATGTATGAAGCCATCTCTGCTCCTCCAGCTATGATTTAATTAGTAAGACTTGTATCACTAAAAAATTATCTCTCCTAAATATTCTTACAATCTAAAAAAAATATTTTCTGGCTTTAAATAACCTGCAATGTGTTGATAAGCTGTAGAAGACAGATCAATCAATCAAATAGGCCTATAAAAGTCACTGTAAATGGCCAGAGCTCACGTGATGAATGAAGTTCTCTCCCAAGAGTCTCTCCTCAGTTTTACATTCTTTTTTCTTTTTATTAACAAACTATGACTGTGTTTCTCTATCTTTTTTAAGGAGCAAATGAAAATATCACCGCACACTTAGCAAAATTTTTAAAGGGTATACATTTAAATGTTATGAAATAAAACCATAGATTTAAAAAAAAATACACACACAAATATGAACTTACTTTATTTCAAAGTTTCTATTCAACTATTTGTGCAGTTTATTTAGTGTGAAACTGGTGCCTGGTGTTATTTCAAGATTTCTTCAATGTTTGGTTGAATGTACAATAAGCAGACCTTCATTTCTTCTTCAGTTGAGTGTAGTCTTTCTTACTTGTTATTTTTATTGTTATTTAGAGTTGAGACGCCTAATTCACATTAATCAGTAGAAAATTGCAATAAAACTAACAAAGCCTTTTTAGTTAATATGGGATATTCCTTTTGTATTGAAATCCAAAATGTATCAAGAATAGTGAAAAGAATTATTTGAAAAAAAGAAGTTTAATACTTATTCAAATACTAATGCTATAACATTACTACTTCTACACACACACGCACACACACACACACACACATATATTTTGACAATATTTCTTGGTGGTCGAGAATTACTGGTCTATGAGCATTCTCTACAGTTTATTGATGTACCTCCAAAACCAAGATGACTTGAACCTTGCAGCTAATTTTTCCTCTAACTGAACTTAAATGACTCAATTGGGAAAACAAAAGCTAGCCTGTAACTTTTAATAACTCAAAAACCAAACTTATATTGTTTCATCATCACTGGTCAGATCCTGAGTTTTCTCAAGTCACAATGAATGTTTGCACTCTTAATAAGGCTTTGAGTTTCAAGTTCATTCCAGACCTCAAGTGGAACTCATATTGCTTAAAATGCTGGGAAAATGGTCAGCTCATTCTATTGCTTCACCATTCTAATCCCACTGATATAGGTACCATGTCAAGAGTTAAGTATGTTTAGGCACATACTGTTGAAATGTTACCACTTCCTGAAAATCCGAAACAAGTATTACAGAAGGAACAATCTCAATTTGGCTCTAAATGATCCACAAGAGGTTTAGAGGTCGCTAAACACAATCAAACAATCTATCGCTCCAGGAGATATCTGACTCCTTCTATCATGCCGTATCTTTACAAAAGTTCCATTTTGAGGTAACAAATATTTATCAAAAACTTGCTTGCATAAAGCCTTTACAATAGTTGACATTTGTTGTACACTTGTATTTGTGAAGTTTAAAAGATGTGAAATACTTCATTTGACCATTTTTTTTTTTTTTATTTTCTTATTTAAATGCTATTTATTTCTACAGAGGTATTCAAATACTAAAAGAATTTTTTTTTTTTTTTTGGTTTGTGTGTATGTTAATGCTTTGTTTTTAATATCATTTCAGGCCCTGGAGATGTTTGTCATCATATTGCAGCAGTGTCGAAAAGAGAATGAAGATAAATGGAAGAGGTTGTCCAGGCAGGTGACTGACATGGTCTTACCTGCTATTGCCCAGCAACAAGTAAATTTAATTTATTTCCATAATGCTTTGAGCTGTTGTTTTTTTTTTTTTTTTTTTAATATATAATTTATATAATAATATGCAGGAGGCACAGTGGAGTAATGTATAGCAGCTCGGATTGAGGAATCAGAGAGCTGAGTTTGAATTCCAGTCGAATCCATTATATTCACTTATGTGCTAATACCTAAATATGAGGAAAGACTGGGTTCTATAGCCTTGGGTGGCAACTGGTCTAGGAGAAGGACAACTCTGACTGAATTCAAAACCTGATCCTCCAGGTTGGGGATTGTGCAGTAGGCTAACTACCTACTTAAAAACTGACTTGTTACACAAATCACATTGATATCTTGTGGCTCTATATTCCTTAAGGAATTTAAAGACATATATATATATATATATATATATATATATCAAAATACACTACTCAGTTTCATGTAATAACAATCAGGTGGATATAATCTGTTGACTTTGATGTTGAGCTCTCGTTTTATATTTTAAGCTTTAGCTTTTACTCTTACTACTTTGTATGTATGTAATATATATATATATATATATATATATATATATAGACATCATTATCCCTTGAAGGAAAATCTTTCAGTCAACAGTTTATCAAACGATAGATGTTGGCGAATAGAACAAAATAATGTAGACATAATTGCAGAAATAGCGAATGAGGAGGGGAAACTGGAACATGATTAAAATAGATTTTAATTGTAAATGAATTGACGATTAAAAGCAAATAAAAGGTTCCAAAAAGAATATAAAATAGAAAAATTTAATCATATTTCCCAGAATAAACACTGCTTACATAGGCTAGGCTGATGAATTTTGATGTACACAGCCTTGAGAACTCTAAGGTTGTGAACAGAGTGGGCTCTTTTTAAAATGGAGAAAAATGTGTCATTATATTTGGCGGCATAGTCCGGATTGTCTAATAAATTTTGTCCAATGTCCAAGTCGTGTACAGATTGGGTGGTTCTCAATAAATGGCTCTGACTACTTGATCATAAATAAGCAGGCACATATTGCATAATGTGAGTTTTCGACCTTTGATCAGTCCATCCTATATATGTTGCATCACAACAGCATTTAAATTTGGATATAACAGCCTTATTCTGAAAATAGGATAACTGATCTTTATTGAAGGATGGAAATACAGATCTAGTCTGAAAGACAGTATGCAACTTATATATTTTTAGAAGTAAAAAAAGAATAAACATTATCTTCAAATGATTACACTGAGAAAGGATGAGTGAAAATATCTCGAATTAGAAAACCTGCTTAAAAAAAAAAGTGATTTAGAAAAGCTAAGGTTATTCATTTCAAAATATTTCATGCTGACTGGATAAAATCTGGTAGAAGACCAGATATGGTCATAATTTGGTGTCCCCTGATCCAAAGAATCCTATTTCCTAAGGGTTCTTAAACTGATATTTACTGAACTAAATACAATCTCGTATAGCATTATATTGGTGGTTCCTCCAGCTAGGATTGAACTCATTATACTTCTATCTCCTGTTTACAACAGGTATAGATATTAAGTTAACTTCTTTTATTTTTCTTAAATGTCATATTCCATCAGGATGTTGACATTCTTGCAAATTGCCATGACATCCTGGCAAAAACTGTGGAATGGTTTCCTGGTATCTTCTCCATGGTTTCAAATTAGTTGTCCTTCCAAGCCTAGAGAACTCAGTCCACCCTGCTATTTAACTCATAGTTAGAAAAATAGAAGAGATGAATTTATATCTTTCTCCATGGTATTTGTGTGAAAGTGAATGCAACAGACAAGGCTGGAATTTGAACTCTACATGCTAATTCCACTCTTCATGCCAGTAACTGTTATGCCGAGATCTTATTAATGGGACATTCAGTAAAACTCAAACTTATTATTAACACTGCCATAAGAAACTGTTTTTTCATGTATTATTTTTTTATTATTATTATTCCTATTATTATTATTATTATTATTATTATTCCCATTATTATTATTATTATTTAGCCTGTAATCAGCTAAATCTGACCTTGTTTTCCTTTTTCTTCTTTTTTTTTTTTCCAGGTAAATCTTGATAATCTAGTTGCTTTGGATGTCTTGCACCATCTTTTTGAATCGGTGGCCCCCAGTGTGTTTCGTCCAGTTGACATTCTGTTGAAGACACTAGTAGCTAAACCCATGGATGTGGTGAGTAACATAATTTACTCTGTAAAATAAACTATTATAGATTTATAAAATTCCTTTGTATTCTGTTAGGTTTCTGGTTTCTTCTATAAGAGGTTTTGAGGAGCATGGAACCACCTCTTAATTAGTGTTGTTCCCAGGTCTATTCTGACCCAGGGTGGTAGCACCTGTTAGGGTCCTAGCTATGGGTAAATAGTGAACCACCAAACTGGGGTAAAATAAATAATGGAAGTATAGATTTAAAAAAAGAAATAAATTACCAGTAATAGATTTTTGTAAAGAGAAAAAAAAACTTACTCCAGCTCCCAAGAAAAAAAAATTTGGCATTAAATGACCCCTGAAAATTTGATATGCCATTAAATAAGCAAATAAACTGTCACATGCTGGACTTTATAATATCACGTGCTTTTGTTTTCTGCCATCTTAATTTACAATGAAATGCAGTATTGTTATTTTATTTTTTTATAAAGCCCAAGAGCCACTTAAGTTAGTGTTACTGAATGAGGTTGTAAGGGTATAAATGGAGGAATTAAGTGCATATTATGAGGATATGTAGGATAAATAACAGTTGAAGATTTTAAGGTCATAGTGATTGGGGAAGCATCCACTTACAAAGTAACAGTTCTGTGGAAGAAGCTGGCTGAGTGAAACTTCCTCTGCACAAATGTACTACAAAGGGAAAGAGAACAAACTGACACTGTGTATGTAACATTGGCCGGCAGGGGGGGGGCTTCTAGCTGTAAAAGTCTGATCTAAGCAATATAGCTCATCTGAACATTTACCATGAAAATAGTGAATAGTAGCTTTTTGAAATATTGCTAATTCTGCCTCATCTGAATTCCAGCAACAGGTGTGGTCTCAAATGCTGCCTCCCAGCAATAATTGTTTAATAAAGTTATGTTGAAATGGTTTTGGTGAATACTAACATCTAAAAACTTGGCAAA